AGACCAAGGGTAATATAAACCGATGGATATGGACCTGTGGGTATTGTAGTCCGATGACTGATTGGACCCAACATGTTTGTTTGTATATGATATGTGTATTGTGTGGTGGTACTTTAGGGGAACTTACTAAGCTTTGGTTTACAGTTTGTGGTTATGGTTTCAGGTACTTCAGATAACCGTGGCAAGGCAAAGTCATAACCGTCCACATCCTGATTTTATGTTGTGAATCTTAAGAGACTCTCATTTTAAATAATATTTTGGAAACAATGGTTTTGTAAACACTTTTACTAGTAAATGGATTGTTTTGAAAAGTTTAAACTGGTTGTGATTTCTAAGATATTACATGGGTTTGGTTGAGATTTCTGATTTGCCAAACCGCCAACCCATCTATTATATGGGTTGGGTTGTGTTATCAGTTTGGGGCGAATCAGCCGCCAACCCGTTTATATATATGATATTTAAAAAATATTAAAAAATTATTTAGGAATTAATGAAAATATTGGAATGTATCAACTATCATTCAATATATGGCATGCCTTGCCTAACACTTTTAAAGTCTTAACCCCAATTGAATTCTCGAATCTATCCACGCAAACCTATATACTTAAGCGGGTTATGTGGGTTGGATTCGGTTGATGTTTCCAACCCACCAACCTATATATTATATGGATTGGATTGGGTTAATGTATTTTGATCCGCCAACCATTGAACTACCAATCCATTTCTTGTTAGCCAGAACACAACCAGTTGTCAGGCCTAGTCAACTACTTACCCAAAGATATTCTATTGATCACAATGTTAATCCCCCTAAAATTTTGACCTAAAAAAAATGATCCTGTAACTTTGTCTTATATAACAATTTAACATTAAGATAAATCACATTTTCTTGGTTTTTTTAATGTGGGGTTAGAAAACGTTTAGTTGTAAATCATGTTATTGATTATATATATATATATATATATATATATATATATATATATATATATATATATATATATATATATATATATATATATAGGATATAGATCCGGTAAGAAATTTTTTTTAGTAGGAAGGTAAGAAGTTTTTTTTCTATATATTTTTTTGACGAACAAAAAAAATGAATCACTAGATGATTCATTTGTAAGATGATTCACAAGAAAATTTTTTCAAAAAAACATCTATATGATTCACTTTTAAGTAAATTAAGAAAAAATTCACTTTTATGACAATTTTAGTGAATAATAACAAAATCATTATATAAATGAATCATCGAGATGTTTTTTTAAGAATTTTTTTTTGTGAATCATCTTACAAATGAATCATCTAATGATTCATTTTGTTTGTTCGCGAAAAAAATATGTAGAAAAAAAACTTCTTACCTTCCTACCAAAAATTTCCTTCTTATTTGATCTTGACTATATATATATATATATATATATATATATATATATATATATATATATATATATATATATATATATATATATATATATATCAATTCTAACAATTCATAGTATTAAGAATGTATTAAGGATAGATAGAGCAGTGATTCGCGGAAAACTGATACTTGTGACGCTTTAATAACAACATATTGGCCAAAAAACAAAGGAGTGCGACTGATTAGGTTGAAACTGTATGTCAAATGAACTCCTGGACATATGTTCAACAACATCCCTCTTCTCCTCCTCAAATACTAAATGTTGTAAATCACTTCACTAAATGATTCGTGTTCAATGTTCTAGCATCTCCAGTTTAACTATAATCCATTATCGATATTTTATCATTCTGGTACACTGTTGATACAATTCCAGAACAGCAGGCGATCGTGCAACATTTTACAACCATTATTGCAGCCGAGAGGCATGCCAATGTTTCCCAAACACATCAAATCCTCATTTTTTGTAATCAAATCAGCATACTATATATATATATATATATATATATATATATATATATATATATATGTTCAGGTTCATTTGAAACCATTCTAATTTTGTGAGACCGTGAGACCAAATCTAAAAATAATTTTAAAATGCAAAATAAATGGAAAAATCCAAAAATTCTTTTTTTAAATATTATTTTTGGAACTTGAATTAATTAAAAAAATATAAAAAAAAAATCGTTTTTTTTTTGAAAAATACATGAAATATTCTAAATAGAATATTACACTGACATATTCTAAAAAATAATTTTAAAATGCAAAATAAATTGGAAAATCTAAAAAAAAATTTTAATATTATTTTCGGAACTTGAATTAACTAAAAAAAATAAAAAAAATAAAAAAAATCTATTTTCTTTTAAAAATACGTGAAATATTCTAAATAGAATATTACACTGTACATATTCTAAAAATAATTTTAAAATGCAAAATAAATGGAAAAATCAAAAAATTCTTTTTTTAAATATTATTTTCGGAACATGAATTAACTAAAAAAAATAAAAAAAAAAATAAAAAAAAAAAAAAAAAATATGTCTCACGGTCTCACAAAATATAGGTAGTCTCAAATGAACCTAAATATGTATATATATATATATATATATATATATATATATATATATATATATATATATATATATATATATATATCAAAGTTGAAATCTTATCTCCTCAAAATTGATGAAGTAGATTGGTAAATTCAGTGCAATCAATCGATATCTATGGTTATTCGATTTAATATATTGACGATGTTGTAAATCCGCCTCCTCTCAAAGGTGGAAGATGATCAACTTAAACCATTAAGTGACATAATTACATGTTTCGCCCTCTGAAGCTAACTTTTTAATATTTTTTTGGTGAAGCTTCTTAAAGGCCTCCTAAAACTTTCATCTCTTCACCAGCAAGAGTAGTAGTACTTTGACATTTCTAGATAAAAATATACAAATCACCAATTTAGTGATTTATTAAATTAATATTTTAAATTAAAAACATTTTTAGTAGAGCACAAACTTTTAGACCATGAAGATGGTATCTTGCAACAAAACACAACCGATCCTTTAAATTATAATCTAAATCAATGAAATTGTTTAGTTTCCCTTTAAATGATAAATTTTGATTTTCAGTTTTTTATTGAAAGGAAGCATCCTTGAATTCCCATGAACCATCATCAAAATCATCATCATCATCATCAATCACCAGATTATAACTGATTGGGTCTGATTGATCGTACAAATCTGATAAAGTATCATTTATTGATAAATTTGAGCTTAGTGAACGCATGTGTTACCCATGTTGAAGATGATTTAAACAATTCATGCTCAAGATTCAAGGAATTATCAACTTCAAGTTCCTCTTCAATGCAAAAAATGGAAAGTGACACAGGTTATTTATAATTCTTTGAATTTAGCTTAGATCCCTAAAACAATCATGGAATGGTAAAGTGAATTTAATAAAAGGGTTAATGATATGAATTGGTAACACTAATAAAATACATGTGGTTTTGATTCAACTTCTAGAAATGATTTCTCAAAATTGCCAAAATTTTCATCATCAATACCCTCAACAAAAGATTGTGACACTCGAATCCATCACCCAATCTATCCAAACTGCAAACCAATAGCATACACCTGCCTCTATAAATTCAACCTGTAAATTAAATAAAAAAACATGCTAAATTCAAGAAAATCTTACCTAATAGCCATATGGATCCTATAAATTAGCCAATATGAAATCAAATAAGGAAGGCCTAGTAACATGAGGAGAAACTTGTATCATCTCAGTCATAAAAAGAAAATAATAAGAACAATAATTGAGGGCAAATCAAGGAAGGTAATTCCTTTACATTACCATGGTATCTTTAAGATGTTAATCATACATCAATGTCTTCCAGAGTTCTTAAGGCCTTGTTCCCGAGTGTTGTTTTTTTTTTTTTTTTTTTTTTTTTTAATTCATTAAAAGAAATGGAAGGAAAATATTGATAGAAGGAAAGGGAGGGAAAGGAAAATTTCTTTATTCCGTGTTCCTGAGTTCGTAGGAAACGAAAGGAAGATTTTAAGTTTATGTGTTCCCGAGTTAGGAGGGAAAAGAAAAGAAAATTAAAAGGATTACAATTTTACCCCTATTTTAAGTTTATGTTTATAACTAAAGTGGGAATCAAAATCAATCAAAAACTTTTTAATCAAACAACCAAACTAATAAAATAAGCTCGATTCAACAAAGAAAAACTAGAAAATCAAAATTCAAACTTTACAAATGAAGTCCAATGCAAAGTACTATAAAATAAATTAAAAAACCATAAAACTTCAAGATATGTTTCACTTCTTAGCTCCATCCATCATCTTTCTTAGAAATATCTTCCTCATCTTCATTGAAGAACTAAAAATTGTCCTAGCATTGACTTGGTTACGCGACAAATATATGAAAGCATCTGCAAATTCATCGACATCCAAACCCATCAACTCCAATTCTTTCTCGATTTCTTAGTCAGTATAGTCAAGAGATTTATTCCCTTCCCTCATAACATCAACAATTTTTTTAAATGTTTGCACAATAGTGTGTTCAAAATTTTCCGGTTATGCTTGAGGTTGAGGTTGAGGTTGAAGTTGAGGTTCAGGTTCAAGTTCAGGTTCATCTACTACTTCATCGAAATCTTGAAGTTTTCTTTCTAGTTTTTTTTTTTTTTTTTTTTTTTTTTTTTTTTTTTTTTTTTTTTTTTTACTTTTTATCTTTTTGGCTTTTGAACTACCATTGGGTGAAACATCCATTGCTGACACTACTTGAATGTCCTCCTCATCATCTTTTTATTCTTTATCTAGAATTACCTCATTATTTGCCATTAGGTTGTCCACATCAACAACTTTTTCTATTTTAATTTTTATGGATTTGCTTAACCGGGCATTTTTTTTTTGTTGTTTCCGCTTTTGATCTGGATGCTCTATCATCAACAAATAGCATCACCAACTGATCATAGTTTTAAATTTTTTTGGTCCTAAATGCAACTGCATAAGGGTTTGTCTGTTTATAAACAAACCCAAAATTTAATTAGTAAAGTAAGTAGTACAAAAAAAAATATAACAATAAATCAAATGTAAGGGTTTGTCTGTTCGCATACTTCTTCCTCTGCTTCAATGTATTTTGTGTGAGAATTCCAGGAGAACCCAATCAACGAAGTACCCTGATACATATCATACCATTTACTAAAATTACCTTTTAAGGTTTTCATTCGGTTTTTTATTTGATCTTTTGTAATAGGTCTGTTAAACTCTTTAGTCATCCCTGCAATCATGTTCCCATATGCTTGTAAAGTGAATGTACCATGCACTCGATTACCTAGTTGATCTTCCTTTACCAGAGCTTCAACGAGAATATTATCCATATGATCTATCCATGTCAATTTTTTTTTCACTACACTTCCATCAGCTGCTCTTTTGGTCATGAATACTCTGTACATACAAAGATAGTATAACGAACCATACATTGTTAAACAAAAATTGGACAAATATATACAAAAAAAAAAAAGAGGGCTCATAATATAAATATCACCATCAAAAAATCAAGTTGCAAATAGACATGGCAATTCGTGTATTCATATCATGAAAATGTGTTAGCCACGAATTTGACACGATACGATTACACGATGAGAAATAAGCTTTATCTCAATTTTTAAGATGTATTCGTGTCGTGTATTCGTATCGTGTCGTGTCTCTCACAGATTTGTGTCTTCGTGTCTGAAATTGCTAGGTCTAGTTGCAAATATCATTACAAAAATAAACTAAAATAACTAAATAAACTAAAACTAACAAATTATTGATCTACTATAAAACTAAGTAGACATATTTATTTCATTGTTTGGTTTCAACAAGTAATCATTCCACATTTGAGTTGTAATAGCGTTCCTCAATTCCTCAGCCCCCGTCACTACGCAAACATCCTTTATTAACATCATGTGTCACTTGTTGTGGTTGTTTATCCAACACCCTCTTGTAAGATTTCATATTCAAGTTTTTTGTCACGATCTTCGTCTAGTAAAAAATTGTGTAAGATACAACATGCCACGAAAATGTCCGATTGTGTGTCACATGAGTAAAAAGGTTCTTGTGTACTTCTAACGATTGGGAACCTTCTTTTTAGAATGCCAAATGCTCGTTCTATCGCGTTACGTAAAGAAGCATGTCGAAGATTGAAAAACTCTCTTGCATTCAGTGGGGGGTGAGCAGAATACTCTTTCAAATGATACCTGACACCTCTATATGGTGTCATTAGTTCAATTGTATGAGGCAAACCAGCATCTACCAAACAACATCGACCTATAAATAACATGTAATTAGTTTTCTAATATAATAATGCACACAAATTTAAAGTACTTAACAAAAATTACCCCTAGGAATTAGTAGCTTATCGTCTCTTTTAAGTGCATCTTCACTATCCTTGAGTCTGAGGCAGTGACCTCCCACCCAGTTAAAACGTACGTAAACTTCAAAGCAAATAAACATGCGGCTAAGACATTTATGGTAGGGTAACCCTTGCGCCACGATATCTAGGGGCATCTTTATTAGGTACTTTCACATGAACACGTGTCCCGTCAATTGCCTCTACACAATTCTTGAAGTAGGGATAAAATCTCTTTTTCTCTTGAATTTCTTTCGGGACAACATCACCTTTAGGTTGTTGAATGTAGTAACTTTCTAATGCTATAATCGCACGAAGAACTCTATGGAAGCACCTACTTGTTGTAGAGTTAGTGCGCCCAGACATGAAAGAAACCATTGTGTTTCTCATATCGTTTACTACGATGTGCAAAAACCTTGCAACATGTTCTTCAATAGACATTTGTTGCGTAGGTCGTAGTCCACCATCACGTCGTAAGATAGCACACAACTTTCTAAAAGCATGATCACTCACACGAATAAGTTCATGACATTTCCACCTTTTAACAGTTTGTGTAATAGTCGTTCTCGTTCAAGTTGACGCTTTAACATTTCTTCCTTACTTAGTATACTATGATTACTTCTTTTCGAAAGTCTACGATGTAATATAATGGCAATGAAAATCAGAGTAACCACTAGCCTTCGTCTTCTTTCCCCATCATCATCTTGGCTGGCCATGACACTTTCCTAATCCTATAATTGGGTATATTTCCAAAGTAAATTGTTGTAATAAAAATGCTATAATATATTAGTAACCAAATTGTGTAAACAGGGTTGAAAAAAACTAAAAACTTTAGCTATTGCAAAGAAAATATTTCAACTATCTAAGTTAAACTACACTTATGGTTTACCTATGGTTTAGCTATTGGAAGAAAATATTTCAATAATGATGTCAATTATTAATGTATTATCAATTACATAGAAGTTTTTGTGTTATTTGTGTAGTTGATGTCAAGCTTTACTTTTGATGTGAAAATGGGGATCTATAAGTTAAATTTTAACTTCAAAATATTGAGCAATGTACCCCAAAATGTTGAGCAATTTTTTTTATCCAAATAGAAAAAGAAACAAATTTTTGGATTTAAATATAGCTGTAAAAAAACACTTAAACAGTCTAAAGTTATAACATATAACAAATAATTTTAAATATAGATCAATGAAATATGGTTATAGAAACCCCAAAAGAATTGAAGAAGTTGAACTAAATTCACTATCTTAAGAAGATGTGAATGCAAGCAAGTTATTCAATCAATTCCATGCATGCATACAAACAAATTTGATAGGGTAACTAACTAAGTATTAGCGAATCAACTATATTTTTTGTTTTTATTCTTAAAATTTCTTCAATAATTACTTTATAACAAAACTGGGCAAATAAAAAAATTGCAAGAAAGAAAAAGTATATTCACAAATTGTCCTTGTGTACAGCAGGAAAACAAGATTCTTATTCTTGGTCACAACTAAGTCGTCTATGATAAACAAAAAGTGGTGTGGGTTTTGTAATTTATGTTATAAAACTTAATCATGTGATTGTTTATATACCCATCAATTAAATAAAGATCAAACACAGTGAAGTTATTTTCTAAACAGTAAAAGAAAAAAAAACACACACTTCACATGGCAGCCATGCATACCCGTGGTTGCATACACAAGATGAAGAATAAAAAAACATAACTGATTGATTATAGGGTATGGAGAGAAGTTGCTTGAGCAAGACGATAGGTAAACCACAGAAAACCAATATGTGATTAGGGATGAGAATTTGGCCCGAAAACCCAAACCGAACTGAATTAGGCCCGAATAAGCAATTCGATTCAGTTTTCGGGTTTCAGGTTATTCGGTTTGGGTTACCCGAATAAGGGCTTATTCAGACCAAATGGACCGAACCGAATTTGAAAAGTCACATAACTCACATTTTTCCCCCTTGATCGATAGCTTATTTGATCTTGTGTTATTGTTTTCAATCCATCGTAAGTTCGTAATCCAAATACCCAATATCTACGTAACCTGGAAACAAAAAATCAAAGCAATCGACAAATCGACGACATGGGTATTTGATCGATCGAGTGTTTTTCTCATCCTAACTTGCGAGTTGCGGAATTTAGGCTGCTGCCTTGATCGATCATCCAACTTTCTACTACCTTGAACGTCAAACTTCATTCATGATAAAAAAAAAAATCGGCCCTTGCTTCTTGGAAAAAAATCGTCTATTCAATCTTTCGTATTCTAGTCTCTATTATGATAAAACTCCATTCAAGTCATGGAGAATTGGGTTCCAAATCAAGAAACTCAAGTAAGTATTTGTATCTTAATCTATTACTCAATCTTTCAATGCGTTATTATGTATCAATGTATGTTACTCATTGAAATTTAAATGTGTTAATTTACTACTTAATCTTTCAATGTGTTATTATGTATATTATCAATTGAAATTTGAGTGTGTTATGTTAATAGTTAACATTTTCTCTATAAGTTCAAGCAATGGGGAATTTTACCTTGAATGAGAGAATTTAATGGAGACAACAACCATATTTGTTCTTTTACTTGTTTCATTCCATATTGATGAATCTATTTAAATGTTAAAGAACCTATATTGCTATTCTATTATATTAAAATGATTTGGTTATTGTGCTTTAGATTGATGATGAAGATTTGTTTGTTGATAACACTCAAGTTGAAGGAACAAGTCAAGAAACAAAGCCGAAGAAAAGGAAATATGTCCAAAGGGTGGCTTGTTGGGCTGATTATGATGTAATTCATATTAACAAAGTTAGATGTAACAAATGCAAAAAGTGTGGAACTTTGCTCAAAACCGAATCCGGCGGAAACGGTTTCTAGTATGATTAGACATACGAAAAGATGTAAAATGAAACCAAAAAATTTAGAAAAAAAAAGTAGAAAACCAAACCACTTTAAATTTCAAAAAAAAAAAAAATGAAAACGGGGAGAATAGTATTGGGACTTGGAAACATGATGAGAAAAGAATAAAAAAAGCTTTGTTAAACTTATTTGTAGTTGGAGAATTACCGTTCAAGTTTGTAGAGAATGAATCATTTATTGAGTATACAAATGCATTGAACAGAAAAGTAGTTTTGCCATGTAGAACCACAATTTCAAATAGAGTCACCAATTACTATCTTGAAGAAAAGGCTAAGTTGTTTAAGTTTTTTAGTAATCCCTTAAGTAAGTGCATTTGAACACCGATTGTTTGACAAGCTCATGTCAAAGGTCAAGCTATATGGTGGTCACGACCCACTTTATTGATGAAGATTGGGTCATGCACAAAAGAATTATCAACTTTAAATCTCTAGATAGTCATAAGGGAGAAGACAGTGGGCGCACGTTGTTGACTTGTCTTCAAGAGTGGGGTATCCCTAACGTAATGACCATAACCGTAGACAATGCTAGTTCGAATGATAAAGCAATCGAAATTCTAAAGAAAAAACTACCAGACTTGTATGATGGGCGGAAACAATTACACGTAAGGTGTATGGCCCACATCCTTAACCTTATTGTTAGGAATGGGTTTGATCAACACCAATCTAGTATCAAGTGCATGAAAAATGCCATTAAATACATTAGGAATTCTACACAACAGATTCAAAGGTTCAAAAAATGCATGAAAGAACTAAATGTGGAATCCAAGAAATTTTTGTGTAATGATAGCCCAACCCGATGGAACTCCACATACGATTTGTTGAAGATTGCGGTGGAGTTGGAGAATGTTTTTGGCATGTTTGAAGTCAAAGGTAATTTCATATTCCATTCCATTCCATTGTTTTTTTTTTTTTTTTTGTTAAATAAATTTCAGCATGTTTGGAATTTTTTAGCCTACTTTGAGCAGTCATAAGGCCTTCGTTATTTGTCGGATTAGCCCAATTTTTTTCCAGTTTGTAGTTTTCAATTTTAACTACAATTTAGACTATTTAAATGCATTATTTGGTTATATATTCAGTGAGATACATGCCTCTAAACATGGGGTATTAAACCTGTGTTTTTCTGTTTAAGCATGTTTGGAATTTTTTAGCCAACTTTGAACTGTCATAATGTCTTTGTTATTTATCGGATTAGCCCAATTTGTTTTCCACCTTGTAGTTCTCAATTTTAACTATAGTTTAGACTATTTAAATGTACTATTTGGTAATATATTTAGTGAGACGTATGCCTCTAAACATGGGGTATTAAAGATAAGTTTTTCTGTTTCAGCATGTTTGGAATTTTTTAGCCAACTTTGAACTGTCATAACGTCTTCGTTATTTGTCGGATTAGCCCAATTTGTTTTCCAGCTTGTAGTTCACAATTTAAACTATTTAAATGTATTATTTGGTTATATATTTAGTGATATATAGGCCTCTAAACATGGTGTAGTAAAGCTGTTTTTTTTTTTTCAAAAAAATACTAACATTTACTTTATTATAATAGATCCTACATATGTTCGAGATGTTTTGACCCCCTCAAAAGAAGATTTCAACATTTGTAGAGCTATGGTTGGATTTCTCGAGAAATTCAAAGTGAAAACCGACATAATATCGACATCAACAAAACCGATGACACATCGTTTTTTTTGGAGAAATATGTGATGTGTACAAACACATTAAGGAATGGGCGGCTAGTCCCCAATTTTGTTTGATTGGGAAAGATATGATTGACAAATACGATAAGTATTGGGGCGACCTTGAAAAATTAAACGATTTTTTGTATCTTACGGTCATATTAGATCCACGGTTCAACTTTGATTTTTTTTTTCAACAAGCCTTTGAGAAGTTGATTAAGTTGAAGAATACACAAAAAGATCCCATGCTCAAATCAGAAGTCATTTTGAAGGCTAAGGCCTTAATACGGGATCTTCAACAAAGATTTGAGAATTTTTTTATTTCTACAAATCAAAGTTTGACAATACCGACTATTCTCAAAATCAAACACATGGTCATGAAGATGTAGTAGTGATTGATAACGAAACGACTTCATGGGTGATTTAATAGTGCAAACTGATTACCCATCAGCATCAATGGAAACGGAGTTGACGCGATACCTAAACAAGCCGTTAGTTAAATATAATAAATATT